GTATCTTCAACTATCTCGTACCACAGTCAGCAACACACTGCCTATCCTCTCTCTCTCTCGGTCGAACCATCTCTCACCTCCTCATCGACTCTCAGCTTCACCGTAGCTAGTTTCCGTCTCTCACTACGCTATGACAGGTCGGTGGTGGTTCCGTGGACAATGGTCGCTTCGCCCATGCAGCAAAAGACCTCCATCATCGCCCTACCTTATCGGTCACTTTAGAAGTGACGTTATGGAGCTATCTCTCTTAACAACACTGACCCTACTATTACACCAATTGAATCCAATGGTACCAACCGGTAACAAGGAGATCGGTCGGATGAAGAACAACAAAGCAACTGGTGTAGATCAACTACCAAGTAGGCTATTAAAATACGGTGGTGAGCAACTGGCTAGAGCGCTGCACTGGGTAATTGCCAAGATTTGGGAGGAGGAGATATTACCGGAGGTGTGGATAGAAGGTGTCATATGCCCAATCTACAAAAAGGGCGACAAGTTGGATTGCTGCAACTACGCGCGATCACACTGCTGAGCACCGCCTACAAGGTACTCTCCCGAATTCTATGCCGCTGCCTGTCATCATTTGCAAGAGAGTTCGTGGGGCAATACCAGGCGGGATTCATGGGTGCCCGCGCTACCACGGACCAAATTTTCGCGATTCGACAGGTTCTGCAGAAATGCCGCGAATACAACGTGCCCACACATCATTTTTTCATCGATTTCAAATCCGCATACGACACAATCGATCGAGATCAGCTATGGCAGATTATGCACGAGTACGGATTTCACGGACACTCTCGAGTCCCTTTGAATCTCGATGGGGGCTATGGCAAGGTGATGGACTTTCGTGTCTGCTAACCTCGCGTTAGAAGGTGTGATCAGAAGAGCTGGGATAGACACAAGTGGCACGATCTTCAGGAAGTCCATCCAGCTCCTTGGCTTCACCGATGACATTGACATTATGGCACGGAACTTTGAGACGATGGCGGAAACGTACAGCAGACTGAAGGCTGAAGCTAGGCGGATTGGACTTGCCATCAACGCATCAAAGACAAAATACATGAAAGAAAGAGGTTCTAGGGAAGACAATGTTAGCCTCCCACCCCGAGTTCAGATTGACGGTGACAAAATCGAGGTGGTCGATGATTTCGTGTATTTGGGCTCACTGGTGACCGTCAAAAATGATACCAGCAGAGAAATTCAAAGACGCATTATGGCAGGGAATCGTGCCTTCTTTGAACTCCGGAGGACGCTCCGGTCGAATAAACTTCGCCGCCGCACGAAGTTGACTGTCTACAAGACGCTGATTAGACCGGTTCTCCTCTACGGCCACGAAACCTGGACTATGCTCGTGGAGGACCAACGCACCCTTGGTGTTTTCGAACGGAAGGTGTTGCGTACAATCTACGGTGGAGTGCAGATGGATGACGGAACGCGGAGGAGGTGTCCATCGTCCACATAGCAAAAATTGGGCAACTACGGTGGGCAGGGCACGTCGTAAGAATGCCGCACGATGACTCAGTGAAAATGGTTCTAGAAAGCGACCCAACAGGAACAAGAAGAAGAGGCACGCAGCGGGCAAGGTAGATCGACCAAGTAGAAGGTGACCTGCGGACCCTTCGCAGACTACGAGGCTGGCGAACTGTGGTCATGGATCGAGTAGAGTGGAGACGACTTCTTCGGACAGCAGAGGACAACAAGGCCTTAGCCTGATTGGTAAGGTAAGGTATGATTTGCCTCAGGGTTGCCACAAATCTTTGTTCACCGATGACACAGGAATTTCTGCTAAAGTATTCGTGTTATTTGCAGCAGTTGTTGTACTACCAGGAAAAAAGCACACACTAAGACATATATCATAACAATTAACGCTGGTAAGTTGCTGCAGTAACTTGAGCACCTAGCTTAGAACGAAATGTAGTTTATTTTGAATTTGAAACAAATAAAGAGTTGAAAAAAGTTGCAGCTACATCCATGAATGTCTGTATTGCGTACTCTAGTTTTGTATGCACTTCACTCAATTAAAATTATGGGCGCTCATTTGAGCCACAAGACTGTGCATATGGGGGTACACTTTGTGAAAACCGAAAATGGAACATGTAACAAATTAAGAAAGATTTTGAACGTTAATAACTCAGCTGCTCCTGGTCCAACTTCAATAATTTTATCACCAATCGATCAGAAATATGACTACGCATCGATACTAATGCTTCCGAATGTTGATTTTCAACAAGAAACTATTTAAAAACTGGTAAATGTCCAGCATTGTCCAAAAGTGTCGAATTAACTAACAAATCCACCAATTACCTACATGCATATGCTGCTTCCCCAGCACAGTCGTCAGAGAATAGTAAGTAGACGAAACAAGTCGAAGTGGCATTCGTCTCCGATCCTCGGGCGCGTGCGAATAGGGAGGATGGAATTGCGTAATATTTTGCACACTCATCTCCATATTCAGAACCAAACGCAAATTCTTTGAGATAACCACCATCCGTCGTCTGGCTCGCCGTGGCGGTGTCTGACGTATCTCCGGTCTGATTTACGAGGTGTGCTGAAGATGTTCCTGAAAATGAGATCCGTGATGCTGTCACCTACACTAAACACGCCAAGCGTAAGCGGCCATGAATGTCATTTGAAGTGGCAGAGACGCACTCTGTTTGGTTTCGGAGGTTAAATCATCACCAACTTTGGCAACAAAAGGCTCTTTTCAGGGCCACCAAGCTTATTACAGTAAAGAGTACGAATAGAATTCATCTGCCTGTTTGTCCATATTCAGATCCAACGATCACACAAAATGCTCATGTAATCATGATCATGATCATGATCAAGTTTGAATCGCCACGGCCGAATATTTTCGATGGAAGAAGCAACAATCTAGCATCTAGTTCGACGAAGACGACAGGAAACATTTGTGAAGCCGAGTTATTTACGAAAGAGAGTGTCGATGAAGAGAATCGATCAATGTAGATAGGACCTATTGAAAAGTGACGCGAGATTTGTTTTCCGACGCCAGGGAGGCAGCTCCCACACCTGGACCCTACCAATCGACCCATCAACTCAACCGGGGACCAACGGCTTTACTTCCCGAAGGAAGGCGTGATCAGAGATGTTATGCCTTAGAACATGCCGGTGGAGCCGACTGAGATTGGACCCAGGCCAACCACCGGCACTGATATCTTTCAAGGTGATATCACGGCGAATGAGATCGACCCAAATTTGAGTTTAGTTATCTCAGAAATAAGAAATAAAGTGCAGGAACTCAGCGATGATTAAATTTGCCTCATGTTTTCTCAGATTTTTCCAGGATTTTCCAGGGAAAAATTCCCGAATTTGAGGAAAGTAAAGATTGGATTCACTCAGTGTATTGGTACTACTCCGAGACTGAATAAAATTTTCATCAAATTTCCTCATTTTCTGGCAGATTTTTTAGGTTTTGCACAGGAAACCATGAGACAAATTTACTCATCGCTGAGCTCCTGCACTTTTGGCGATTATGAGTGAACTAAACTCAAATTTGGGTCGTTCTCATTCGCCGTGTACGCAAAAGGAAAAGAGGCAGTGTCGCTACTTGATAGCAAACTACTCATAATGGGAGTGTCTTTGTAGCATTTATACCACTACTTGGTTGCACATCATTCTGCTTTAACCTGAAAAGATATAAAAGAGCGCTGCTGTATGGCATTATTTAGCTCATTTTCGCTTCGGATGGCGTGGTGAACAGCAACTCCTTTACACCTAACAAGCAACAATTGTTGTGGCAAAGAAGGAACAGGTCTGGTAAAGGAGGCGCCAAGAGTCATCGAAAAGTTCTTCGAGATAACCGCCTTCGGTCGTCTGGCAAATCTCCGGTCTGATCTAAGAGGTGTGCTGAAGGTGTTTCTGGAAAATGAGGTCCGTGATGCAGTCACCTACACTAAACACGCCAAGCGTAAGTGGCCATGGATGTCCTCTTCAATAAAAAACGGCCCTTTTCAGGGCCATCAAGCTTACATCAGTAAAGAGTTGGAATAGAATTTATCTGTGCTTGTTTGTCCATATTCAGAACCACAAGCCCCCAACGACCACACAAAATGCTCTCCAGAGTTGTAATCTTGTAACCAAACTTGGAAGCAGGGGTGCAGTGATTTTGATTGATTCTCTTAATCAACTTTCTCTTTGAATAAAAAATACTACAAATTTGGTACGCCTACAATTCAAAAACGGAAAGAGTTGAGGTAATAGAAAATTGATCAATTAAAAGAACTAAATGCTCTTCACATTTATTCCGTCCACTAGCAGTCCAACGTCAAGCTTCTGTTCGTGCCCCTAGGCACAGACCCTTCTACTTTTTTCTGACAAACGTCAGTTTGATCGTTTATTTTTAAAACCCAGCTCAGGTTGAAGTTCGCACTGACAAAAAGTTCGGTTTCGCACTGGTTCCAACCCCGATAACAGACGAATTCGCTATTAGTGTTAGTCTATGATAATATTCCATCGTGTGTGAAATGCAACATCACACGTTCCATAACGTTATATTTTTGTAAAATGAAAAACATCAGTTTTCTTTTGATACTCAAAATCATCCCCATGCATATTTATATGACAACAACACAGGCGATAATGAACAAAACAAAACCAAACGTTGACTTCGAAACTCAGCGCTTGCCTTGATCAAGAGAATGTTGTCATGTCAAAATTTAAATTCATGCAGGTAGTTGGTTTATCTTTTCGGGTTGCCTGGATTTTCAGTTAATTTGAGTGTAGAAGAAATTATTATTTATAGGAACATAAAGGAGTCGCAAAAGTAAAGTTTAAAGTTCAAGAAGGTAACCACCAAACACATCTCCAGTTTCAGGAACCCCAGCATTTTAGAACTCAGAAACTTTTTATAACTTCTCGGGAATGTAAGATTATCGGGGCTGCCCTAAGGTTCTCTGGTAAACCACTTCCGCAATGTATGTTTGATTAGGCTCAAATAATCTTGTTGTAATGACATTTAATGCCCCTTGCCAACCGGCACTCACCTGTTGTACATCAGCACGTCGGGTTTCCACAGCCGATGCGGCGGTATCCGTAGATCCCGCACACCGCCGTACTCGGAAGAATTCCATCGCACATTCATGTCGTTCCATTCCTGTAAGTAAATGAAAGTAAAAATTTGATTTATTTACCATTTCAGAGATAAATGTTTGCTGTGTAATTGTTTGTTTCTTTTCCGTCAATATGCGCCGAAACAGATTTCCCCATTCCGAGAAAAATCATCGCCCGAGGAAACCATTGAGGGGGCGTAAAAGCACTCCACATGTATCAAAACGAGCAAATTGCAAATTGAATTATGTATGACTTTTGTGAGGACGGCGACTGGCTGCTGCTGATGGAACGAAGTCACAAGTTACGCAGGCGACGGCTCACTTGAAGTTGGCTGAGATTCACGGAAAGAAAAACACATTCCACAAAGCTGTTTCCGATGATGAATGTGAAATGTACATGCAGCATGTGTTCGTTCCATTGAGATTCCAGTTCCCGGGGAAATTGAGCTGTCATATCAGAGGCAGACATGCCCGCGAGCAAATTCCGAATTTTCCAAAAGATCGTGGGAAAAATGTCTCTCGGAATTTGAAATTGAAACCGCAAAACCCAAACCACCTGGAACGACGAAGAAGAAGAAGAGGAAAACCGAACAGGAACGTAGTCTGTCAGTCGGAACAATGGGTAATGTGATAAGCCCAATTTCAATATGAATCCCATTATCGTTACGACGTGTAATCCAATTCGTTGGAGCCAAACGTGAGCGGAGTATGTAAGCAGGCAGGCAGGCAGGCAGGATATAACTTTGTAACGATGTTTAAAATGGGGATCTTCCTCACCAGCCAGGTTCGTTTTACCGCTTCGCGTGAAATCCAATAAATTGTTAGGCTTCGAAAGGAAAATATTAGCTTTCGACTTTTTAAGTAGCTTAACCGAGATCTGGTCTGGTGCCTTTGTCTGGTTTGCCGAGCGGAATGGGGAGTGGTGCATGGGGGGTGGGGAAACGATCAGGGTGGAATGGAAATTTGATGGAAGCTTTAACGGATTACTTAAATGGAGTGTGTCCGGACGAATTGAGAGAGCACTTGAGCTACGCTTTGGATTGTTATGGCATTAAAATGTAATGTTTTTATCTGGAAATAAGGCCTTGACTAGCTAGAATTATTGAATTATTGAATGATTGATTTGAGGGAACATTTCATGAACTAATAGAAGTTATTTTAATCCCACAAGAGTTGAAAATAACGCCCGAAAACCCGACCATCTCCACTGAGAAACAATAAACTGATCAATTGAAAGCTGTTTAATATCTTTAATTTGTATTTTACGATGATCAAAATAATCAAAACAAAAACATTGAACGCCATGTTGAATCTATGATGCAAATGCAAACATTTGTCCATCACATCTCCATGGAATACCAGGCAGTGAAATTATGGATCAAATCTCCCTGCAAGCGTGTCTTATGACTGCATGAAGCTTGAATCCGGGATTTAGAAGGTGACAGCTGTTCCGCAGATCCAATAGCCCATAGATTAAGCAAGCATTCTGAACCTATTTCCATACACGATAAGCATCATCCCAATAAATTATGGATACTAGTAAACCACTGACAATGTTTTGAAATTTTCAGTCAAGTAGTAGTAGTAGTATTTAGTAGAATTCTTCTTTATTTGTGATTTATTACGTGGTTTACAATTTTTAATACAAGGCAAGAGGTTAGCCAGAAGGGCTCTTCATCTTTGGAGAAATTTTTGATTTTGTGTTTGAACATGGCGTGTTTTACTGTTGTAATGTTTTACAATTCTCTTCTTGTGAAGAATGTTTGATTTAAATGTTTTAATTTGTTATTCTACCTACTTAACCTAACTTAGCTTAACTTAACCTAACGTACCAGATCCCTGATGATCTGTTGATCGGATCGGACAGCAATCTCTGAGCCTAGCGATGAAGTCAGCTCTCCGTAACTCCAGTGTATGAAGACCAGCCAGGCGGTGGACCTCAGAGTTTCTAGTCCGCGATGGACTAAATATTGACGATCATTCTCAGGATCTTATTCTGGATCCTTTGTAATTTGAGATGGTGGCTTTTTGCGCATCCCGCCCAGATTGGCATCCCGTATTTTATTACGGGAAGGATGATTTGTTTGTAGACAGCAAGATTATTTTTCAGGGATAGAGCAGACCTCCTGTTGATGAGTGAATACAGTGATCTTATCAAGTTGTTACACTTGGTTTTGGTTTTGTCAACGTGCCCCTGAAAATCAGCTTGCTGTCTAGTGTTAAGCCGAGGTAGACTACCTCTTTCGACCATTTCACCACTGTGCCGTTCAGGAAGATCTTATTATTCTCCAACGGAACAAGTCTGGATGATTTAGAGTGTGGAAAGATGATGACCTGGGTCTTTGCCACGTTGATACGGATCTTCCAGCTGTTGAAATACTCAGACAGGACATCCAAGCTTCTCTGGAGTTTGGCAGTCAGAGCTCCGATGACCCTACCCTTGTAGACGATGGATGTGTCATTTGAGAACAGAGACAATGATCCACCATCAGGGAGAGCCGGCATATCGGAGGTGAATAGGTTGAATAGAATGGGGCCAAGGATGCCTCCTTGTGGAACCCCGGCACCGATGTTGCAAGCATCAGATGTGATGCCATTCAGAGAGAATCGGAACGTCCTGTTCGATAGATAGTTGTTAATCATCTTCACTAGGAAGATCGGAAGACCGTAGTGCTGCAATTTGAACACCAGGTCATCATGCCAGACATTGTCGAATGCTTTTTCAACGTCCAACAACGCCATGGCAGATGTTTTCGAAACAGACTTGTTCCGTCTGAGAATGTTTGTTACTCGAGTCAGCTGGTGGACGGTCGAACGACCTTTCCGAAAACCAAACTGTTCCTCGGGTAAAGAGTTGTTTTCTTCGGCAGATATTAAATGTTGGATGACTGCTCTTTCGAACAGTTTTGATAACTTGAAGAAGAGGACGCATCCTTCCCAGGTTTCCGGATGGGTATGACTTTAGCTGACTTCCAACACGAGGGGAAGTAGCCAAGTTGGAGGCACAGATTAAAAATCAGTGCCAGATGGTTGTAGAATCTGGGACTCAAGTGTTTGAGTTCCAGATTCAGGATGCTGTCGAAACCTGGGGCCTTCATGTTTTTAGAAGATTTTATATAGGCCAACAGTTCGTCAGCCGTAAACCGATTCCTCTGAAAAAATATTAAGCATCTGAAGAAGATTGGTTGCATTTTCAGCAACCTCAGCTTCGTGAGGGCTGCCGATGTTTTGTCCGAGATTATGGGAGCTGACGAAGTGTTGACCTATCGCAGCAGCCTTCTCTTCAGGAGTAATCAGATGAACCACTGGGTCACCGGGACGATCCAGTATGGTTAGTGGGGGAATAGGCCTAGGCTTGTTTTTAAGAATTTGTGTATGTTTCCAAAAGGGCTTTGCACAATCTGGGAGAGAGCGAATCCTGTCCTGATTGCTGAGGTCCACCATCCTGGCTTGGACGGTTTTTGTTAGGCGATTGCAGTGGGTCTTAAGGGCAGGCAGACCAGAGCGTTGGTACTGCCTTCGAATGGAGTTACGGAGTCTTACAAGGTCTTTGGTAGTTCTGTCAAGGTCCAGAGTATTTCTCACCTGTCTGGATACTGGCACGTGTTGTCACCTGGCCCGGGATATCGCCTCCTCGATCGAATGCAGACACCGGTCAACGTCTTCGGGCATCTCCGGAAGGACACCGTAGTCGACAGTGGAGTCGACACAGTGTTGGAACTGATCCCAGCTGACGCGATGGTAGTTGCATTGTGAAGCTCATCGGTTGACGGATGAGCTCACATCGGCCACCACCGGATAGTGGTCCGAACTCAGCTCCTGGTGGTCGTCGTTCAGGATTGTGCCGTTTTGGTTGCGTCGACTGTTGCCCCAAGCCTGGTGTTAGGCGTTCAGGTCGCCAGCGATGATGTACTTCTCACGGCGTCGAGTTAGTCTGATGATGTCTCACAGCAAGTCTGCTACCTACCCGTCCCTGATGGTGACTTGTTTGGGACAGTAGGCCGCAATGATGGTAATAGGGCCGACAGGAGTGGAGACTTCCACACCCACCGCTTCGATCATCTTCAGCTGGAAACTCGGTAGCAGTCGACAGCCAATATTTCTCCTTAATGCGAAAGCCACTTTTCATCCGCAGGAGCTGGTCCGGTCTAGCCTTACGAGCTGAAAATCGGGGAGGTGAACATTTATCTCCGGCTTCAGGTGTGTTTCGGTGATGACAGCGATGTCTATGCTATGTTCATTGAGGAAATCAACGAACTCAATGATTTTGCTCTTGAGCGAGCAAGCGTTCCAGTTAACTATTTTGATGGCTTTACGGTCCATACTTTTGCACGAGGGTTATAACTGCACGAAGCTGTCGCTTGTGAGTGGAGAATTTTCTTCTGACTAACCTGACACAGCACGGGCGTACGATAATCCCGGGGCAGTAGAGGCATGGCTCGGCTGGGCCGCAGCATTAGTGAGGCGGTGCTGAACTGAACGGTGGCTGGGACCCGCTTGATCTGATGCTGGATTCGCAATGGGGGAGCGCTGGTTTAGTGGAAGCGGTGCTAGTTTTGGGACCATAAGACGAGCCGGTAGTACAGGAAACGTGTCCTTGTTGACAATAGGAGCACGATTATTGCGGTGGTGACCAGGTTGGTTCTTCGTGGAAGCCTGTTGTCGGATCTGAATGAAGGCCGCTCGCTTGGGACATCTCCTATCGCTACCCACATGGTTGGAATCACAGTTCACGCACATAGGATAAGCTTCTTCTTCCTTCTTGCAGGCGTTTTTATTGTGAGCCCCAGCACATTTGCCACAACGAGCCTTCATGTGACAATTCTTCGTACCGTGCCTAAATGCCAGACAATTAGTGCACTGTGTCACGTCACGGTGCCGAGGGCGATACTGCTCCGACTGAACCACGACGTTGAACAGCGCGCGAATCTGCCGCAGAGCAGCCACACTGGTGAAGTCCTTATCGAAGTGCAGAAGGTACAACTGGTCCCGGAATGCACTGGTTTCATCACGTCTCGCAATGGGACAAATGCTCCAATTCCGC